AAAAAAAAAAAAAAAAAAAGCACCTAATACATAGTGGCTCATGTCTGTAATCCTAGCCCTCTAGGAGGCCAAGGTGGGTGGATTTAGCCCACGGCTGGGCTCCTATAGCACAGTGGTTACAGAGCCAGCCACATATACCAGGAATGGCGAGTTCAAACCCAGCCCAGGCCAGCTATAAAAACAACAATAATAACTGCAACAAAAAATAGCCAGGCATTGTGGCAGGCCCCTGTAGTCCCAGCTACTTGGGAGGTTGAGGCAAGAGAATCCTTAAGCCCAAGAGTTTGAGGTTGCTGTGAGCTGTAATGCCATGGCACTCTACCGAGGGTGATAAAATGAGACTCTATCTCAACAATAACAACAAAAAAACCAACCTGAGCAAGAGTGAGACACTGTCTCTACTAAAAATAGAAAAAAACTAGTTGGGGCCCAGTGCCCATAGCTCAGTGGTTAGTGTGCCAGCCACATACACTTGGGGTTGGTGGGTTTGAACCTGGCCCGGGCCTGCTAAACAACAATGATAACAACAACAATACAATAGCTGGGCATTATGGTGGGTGCCTGTAGTCCCAGCTACTTGGGAGGCTAAGGCAAGAGAATAGCTTAAGACCAAGAGTTTGAGGTTGCTGTGAGCTGCGATGCCAAGGCAATCTACCAACGGCAACATAGTGAGACTCTGTCTCAAAAAAAAAAAAGGAAAAAAACTAGTTGGGTGGCACCCAGTCCCAGCTACTCAGGAGGCTGAGGCAAGAGGATTGTTCAAGGCCAAGAGTTTGAGGTTGCTATGAGTTATAGACATCATGGCACTAGTGTCTAGGGCCCACCCCAGGCAATACTCAGGCACAGCCCTCTCTCGGAAGCCATGATCTAATCTAACTCACCTCTTCTCTGTTTTATAGATTAGGGACAGAGACTCTACCTAAGGTTACAAATGCAACAGGAACCCCAAGAGTTGGCTTGGTGCCTGTTGGCTCAAGTGGCTAAGGCGCCAGCCACATACACCTAAGATGGCGGGTTTGAATCCAGCCCGGGCCCACCAAACAACAATGAAGGCTGCAACCAAAAAAAATAGCCGGGTGTTGTGGTGGGTTGCCTGTGGTTCCAGCTATTTGGGAGGCTGAGGCAGGAGACTCGCTTGAGCCCAGGAATTGGAGGTTGCTGTGAGCTGTGATGCCACAGCACTCTACCCTGGGGGACAGCTTGAGGCTCTGTCTCAAAAAGAAAAAAGAACCCCAAGAGCCCTACTCAATCCTGGCTGTGGGCCAAACCAGCTGTTCTTCCTTATTCCTTCCTTCCTTCCAGGAGGTTCGAAGTGCCTCCGCCTCTCCAGCTCTCCCCTCCATGGTACATAAATACAAGACCAGGCACTTTTCTGGGAAAGTAACCAAGGACCTAGAACCCTGCCAATTCTGGGTAGGCTGAACTGCAGGTTGGGACTGGCCTGGTTCTGACTCTGATGAGGTGGCAGTTGTGAACCTCAGCCAACTGATAAAAGTCCCAAAGGGCAGGACGCCTCCCCTCTAACCTGCCTCTGAGACTCCTCTCCACACACTAAAAATGTATTTTCTAAAAAAATTTTTAAAAATTAAAAAAGGCACGAAAGGCACACCTATAATCTTAGTACTCTGGGAGGCTGAGGCAGGGGGATTGCTTGAGCTCAGGAGTTTAAAACCAACCTGAGCAAGAGCAAGACACTGTCTCTACTAAAAACAGAAAAAACTAGTCAGGAGTTGGTGGCGGAGGGCCTGTACTACTCTGGAGGCAGATGTAAGAGGCACTTGAGTCCAGTAGTTTGAGGTTGCTGTGAGCTATGGTGCCACAACATTCCAGCCTGGGCAAGAGTGAGACTGTCTCAAAAAACAACTGTAGATATATTGTTGTTATATATGGTTATATATATAAAATATATAAATAAAACCATGTTCTTTGGGCTTAGAGGCAACTGGATTTGCCTTCCAGAGCTGTGTCTTGCTTACCCCTGGCCTTGGGACCTCAGCTGACCAGTAGCCTTAACCTCTTGAGCTATATCCTCATCTGTAAAAGGGGATGCAATGACTATTTCTTGGACCTGTCATCAAGGCTGAATAAAGTGTTTGTAAAGGACTTTGCAGTGTCAAGCACACAGCAAGTATTCAAGAGATGGCAGTATTTATTCATTGATCCCACAAATATGCTTGGCTTTGGGACAGGAGGTACAGCAAAGAAAAAGGAGACTAACCCTCTCCCTGCTCTCATGGAGCTTACATTCTAATAAAAAAGAAAAAAAGCCAAAATTATCATAGATGGTACCATGTGATATGATGAGAGAATAATTTGGGCATGCACAACAATGTGAACATACTTAATACCCCCAAACTGTACACTTCAAAATATTTAAAACGGTGAATTTTTATTATATATTATCACAACAAAAACAAAAAGGCTGGGCACCCATAGCTCAATGGTTAGGAAACTGGCCACATGCGAACCTGGCCTGGCCTGCTAAACAAACAAACAAACAAACAAACAAAAACGAAAAATAGCCAGGCATTCTAGTGGGCTCCTGTAGTCCCAGCTACTTGGGAGGCTAAGGCAAGAGAATCGCTTGAGCCCAAGAGTTTGAAGTTGCTGTGAGCTAGGACGCTACGGCATTCTAGTGAGGGTGACAAAGTGAGACTCTGTCTCAATTAATAAAAAAAGAGAGGACGGCACCTGTGGCTCAGTGGGTAGGGCGCCAGCCTCATATACCAAGGGTGGCAGGTTCAAACCTGGCCTGGGCCAAACTGCAACCAAAAAAT